ATTTCTAGATTTTTAACTTTAATCATCTATACATAACTATATTTCTAGATTTTTAACTTTAATCATCTAAACAAAACTATATTTCTAGATTTTTAACTTTAATCATCTATACATAACTATATTTCTAGATTTTTAACTTTAATCATCTATACATAACTATATTTCTAGGTGTGTTTGTTGTGGGGGGGGGGTTAGGCAATCAAAAAAACTTAATGTTATAGGAACGATTATTCGAAACCTGCAAATTCTTAAGATCAAAGAGTGTTTATTTTTTCATTTTATTAAGTCAAATTTAGAGGAGTGCTGACGCAAAAGGGATCAGATCGGATAAAGGATGGATAAGAAATTGAGAATGGATTTGACTGATTTAGATTGATTTGTGAAACTGAAATAGGAGTGTGCAAGTGTAATGTATATAAAGATTATGATGAGTATTCTCTATTACGTGTTCACTGTTCACTGCTCACCGCTGTTCAGTCGGGTTTTGGTGCTTATATCGGAGAGACGTGAGGTAGAGCGCTCCAAACAGTGATTTCATCAAAATCAGCTGAGAAAAAAATCAAAGATTTGATAAAACGGATCGTCCACGTAATTTTAAAGTGAGCAGTAAAAGTCAGAAATATCGAAACTTTGATGGCAACGATCTTTTCGTTTCTATCCGGAACAGGCACAAAGGAATTGAGTGTTTGCTACAAACTCTGAAATTCTAATTCCTATATCTTTGCAACCCAATATCTGATGACTTTAGATATTTCAAACTATGAATTCTAATAGATCAAGATATAGGGATTAGCAAATTTTAGCATGTGGCAAAGACTAAGCTCCTTCCCGAAAATTTTTGCTCGCTTTTGACGTAAAAATTTAAAATTTCTGTATTGAAAAATTATCAATTTTTATCATAGAAAGACGAAGATAAACTTATATTGCTCTTTACATTAAATTTACGTTGAAGATTAAAAGTTTCGTTTTAACATAAAGTAAAAAGAAGAAAAAGACGATCGGCTATCTTTTCATGGGGAAAAAATTATGATAGTTAGCAGCAAGTCATTTTGTTTTCCTGAATATCGGATTGTGAAACAATAAAAAAGTGTTTAAAGAGGAGTAAATTTAGATCATTAAAGGGACAGTCATAGTAGTTTTAAGGGACTGTTATAGTAATTTTAAGGGACCCTCCATTAAAAAAGGGAGCATGCCCGATTACCAAACGTACTATTTAAACTTTTATCCGATCAACAATGTGAAATATATTATAGTTATTTATAGCTTTAAAAGTGTTTAATTTTTATTCTTATTGATTCTGTAAGTAGAAATCCGCAAGTGACATCATAGAGAAACCGCAATTAAAACTAATCGAACTTAAAGAAAAAAAATGCATAGCACAGTCATTCTTGACCAGACACAGCTTTCAAGAGTACCCTTATGAATTAGACACCCCACTCAATAAATGTAAGGTCATAAAAAATTAGGCTTTAACTCCCTTTAAGAAGTCGGCAATTAATCTTTAAAAGATATTAAGAAAATTTGCAGCTACATATACAATACTCTTATTTATAAATTTATTTTAGAAGTCCCTTTAGAAATTAATGTATTTGTAANTAGACACATACAATAATATTAGACATTAGACACATACAATAATATTAGACATTAGACACATACAATAATATTAGACATTAGACACATACAATAATATTAGACATTAGACACATACAATAATATTAGACATTAGACACATACAATAATATTAGACATTAGACACATACAATAATATTAGACATTAGACACATACAATAATATTAGACATTAGACACATACAATAATATTAGACATTATACACATACAATAATATGTAGAGATTAGACACATACAATAATATTGTACATTAGACTCGTACAATAAAATTAGATATTAGACACATACAATAATATTAGACATTATACTCATACCATAATAGACATTAAACAACAGACACATTTAATAATATTACCATTCGACAACAGACACATACAATGATATACATTAGACACATACAGACTCATTCAATATTTATATTATGACTTTAAAAAAATTCATCAAAAATGGTTTTAAGTGTTCATTTATTTAGACTCATTAAGATTTGAATAAGTTTAATAGTACCTTTTTAACTCTAGGCTAAACAATTTTATTTTCATTAATATCAAAATTGAAATTAAATATTTCACTCTAAATTTAATCAGTCTGCTTCTGTGAGGATTGTCAATTTTTTCTTACTAATTAAGACTTGTCCGGGGGTGGGGGCATAAGGGGGCCTTAGGGTTGATTTAAGATCTGGTTTCAAGTTTGAAAAACTAGATTTGAAAATATACGTGACTTGTTATAATTATCTTTATAACCTTAGGAATATTTTCTGAGTGCCACTTTCTCGAAACATGACCAAGATACATGTATTAATGGGACTGTAAATGTAATTTCATGTGACCCTCCATGCAAAGATAGTACAGTCCGATTTGCATAGGTACCCTTTGAAAGCGTTGTCTGACTATGTATGAATTAGATGTTGATGTCTATAATTTTTAAATCTTATTATTTTTAATTGTGGTTTCTCTGCAAACACATTTCTAGTGCTGGAGAAATATAGTAATTATTAGAATTATAATCCTTTAAACTAAGAAAAATGACAACATCTTTCACATTATTGATCAAGGGTATCTTTGTGATTCGGACATTGTCATTTTTGCACGGAGGGTCAACTGAACTTTTGCTTACAATCACCTTGAAGGGATTGTGTGAATATTTTGATATATTCTAATATCTTTAAGTAAATGGCCCCCATCCATTGAAATAGTTTCATGCTTCATTAGTGGTTGCAAGAGGAGGGGATAGAACATATTTAGATCTATTTAGATAAACGTGATACCTCGTGATTGCAAGGAGAGGGGATAGAACATACTTACGTCTACATAGATACACGTGATACCTCGTGATTGCAAGGAGAGGCGATTGAACATCCTTACATCTATTTAGATACACTTGATATGTCGTGATTGCAAGGGGAGGGGATAGAACATACTTAAATCTATTTAGATACACGTGATACGTCGAGGTTGAAAGGAGCGGGGAAAGGACATACTTACATCTACTTAGATACACGTGATACGTCGTGATTGGAAAAGGATGGGTTAGTTAGGAATTGTAAAAAAGTCATGCAACTTTTATAAAACTATTTCACATGAAGGAAATATTTTAAATATAAATACATAATTTCCGATTTAATCATGTATGCAACTGTTAATATGATTTATATCGTTACGCAACTGGATTTAATTTAAGCAAAAATTATGCTTTTGTTAAAACTTAATTTATACATTATATTAAATATCTTTAGTAGTACAGCAGTAGCATGTCGTCTTTGTATCTTACAAATACTAAACTATATTTGATAATTCGCTTTCTATGTGGGTTTAGCGCATTTTGATAATTCATTAAAAAGATTGAGGACTTTTTAACGATACTTCTTTCTATGTATCATCATTAAGATACAAATATAATTATCGTATATAGCAGAGCTTGCAGAACTAGTTTTAAATTCAATATTTTTTTTTTTTTTAAATTTCCCAATATGCTTTGCATCTAGATTAAGATCTATCGATTTTGTTAATGGATTCTCTTTCAAATTTGTGTTTCTAAAACTTGAAATTTTTCTTATTTAAATCTTAAAACAGGTTTTTATGGAAATTAAAGTTTAAATGTCTCCTTCTGTATTTCTGATTTAAACCACTTCAAACCAAATAAATCCGTGTGATAATGATAATTCCACTTCGAGGACTTATTTATCGAAAATCAAAAGGGACTGTTCACGTATTCCATGGTGACTCTCTGATTAAAAAAGGATTCATATTTGAAGTTTTTGAAAGTAACAAAAATGAATTCTAAGGGTGAAACTTCATTTTGTTTTAGAATAATCAAAATACCACAAAACTAGCTTCTGTTTTTGGTTTCAAATCCTTATTTTGATTAAAGCTATTACATTTATTTTGCGAATTTTAAATGTCAAAATAATATTGGTTGGCTAAGAAAATCGATTTGATTTGGAATGAAAGGGAGGGGGGTGTTGATATTGATTAAAAATCATGACTTGAAAAACTATCGCAGGTGTTTTTGTTGCTGGTTGTCCTGCAGATCGATATCCCCTATTTGATCAATAATTTTAAAGAAAAAAAATGTTTGAATAATTCATTTACGTTTTATCTCAACTTATAAAGGTAGAACTTTTGTTTTGTGAATCTCAGGCTCAAGGTTTGATCTACGGATTAATTTAATTCTTGATCTGCGGATTAATTTAATTTTTGATCTTCGGATTAATTTAATTCTTGATTTACGGATTAATTTAATTCTTGATCTTCGGATTAATTTAATTCTTGATCTTCGGATTAATTTAATTTTTGATCTTCGCATTAATTTAATTCTTGATTTACGGATTAATTTAATTCTTGATCTTCGGATTAGTTTAATTCTTGATCTTCGGATTAATTTAATTCTTGATTTACGGATTAATTTAATTCTTGATCTTCGGATTAATTCAATTCCTCTTCGATATCCCTTGTTGTTCGTACCCTGGAGGGATCATTTTAATTGAGGGATCAAGCATTGATCTTCAAATTAAAAAGTGCTTACATTTGGANGGGGGGGGGGGGGGGGGATTGAAAACAATTTGAAACCAGGCACATGTGAAGGAAACTTAGGGGAGCGTGAAAAACTGATGGAGGGGTTGGCATCCGCCCTCGAATAACTTTTAAGCCGCAAATGGCGTCACAGAATCAATTTAGGATTTTTTGAGTATCAAAAGTGTTTTCGAGTCTAAACGCTCATTTGCGGCTCGGAATTATTTCTATGGTGTCATTTGCGGCTCGGAAGTCGTAAAGGCGTTGTCTGCCTTTCCCTCCTTAAAAGTCACACTTGACTTCGTCGCCTTTATACTTTACTTCAATGTCAAGCTATTGACCTTCGCGCTACGGGGGTCGAGGGGGGGGGGTAGGTATTTTAAATTAAGTGTTTGTTAAAAAATTAAAGGGGTATATAATGAATTTAAGATAAATTATAATCATAAACAAAATTTCTAATTTTAGATAAGATTCAGTTGATTTTAGGGGTGTGGAGAATTTAGAAACAATTATAAATTTTTTGTTTAATTTTTGTTTAGAAGTTGAATGCTATTAGAACCTGTTTAGAACCTGTTTAGAACCTGTTTGGAACCTGTTTGAAATAAGATTGAAAAGCTTTTCATATTTTTTAAATATAATTAATTTATGTTTTTTTTCAGGAGTTAAATGCTGTGTATAATATAGGGGATCAGGATCAATCTCAGCTTCTGAACAATATTATTAATGAAACCTACAATCCTGCTGGACAACATAATTATATCTACGATCAACAGGTACAATACATGGTACATGGTACATGGTACATGGTACATGCAAATACAGCATCTTCACAAATGTATATGTACCAACAGGTCCATGGTACACGCTTGTACAACATCTACACTTATGTATATGTACCAACAGGTACATGGTACATGCTTGTACAACATCTTCTCTTATGTATATGTAACAAACAGGTACATGGTTCAAGTACAACATATTCGCATATGTATATGTACCAATTAGAACATGGTGCACGCATGTACAATATCTACATATATGCATATGTACTAATAGGTACATGGTACATGCAAATACAGCATCTTCACAAATGTATATGTACCAACAGGTACATGGTACATGTACAATATCTTCACATATGTATATGTACCAATTAGAACATGGTGCACGCATTACAATATCTACATATATGCATATGTACTAATAGGTACATGGTACATACGTGTACATTGTACAACATCTTCACATATGTATATGTGCCCAGAGGTACACGGTACATGCCTGTACAACATCAACACACATGTATATGTACCGTATTTTTGCACTTAAACTTTACGAGTACATGTACTATTCCATCGATTACAGTGAGACCCATAAATATATATTGTAAAGACGACTGTTAAGACTAAAGTTATGATTTTGAACAGGGGCGTACCTTTTTTCTTTCCAGGGGGCTTAACACACGTTAGGGCCTGAAAACCCCTGGTTACTTGAACTTTCGTCTGTTGAAAGTGAGGAGGGGGAGGGGGTGAAATAAGTTACAGTACACTAAACATGATAATTACTTCTCGTATTTTTGATCAATATTAGGACATTCTTTTTTAACCCTAAACACCATAAATAAATAATTAAGAAAAAATTGTCAAAAAATCCATTTTAAAGATTTCAACTTACGAAGGTGCAACAGTTTGGAAAGTTTATAAATCATGCAAATCCTCTAATTTGTAATTTGTTTTTTTAAAGGGACTGAAAGCATAATTCAAATGACCTTCCATGCAATACCCTCGATTTTCTTTTGGTAACCTTTAGATCTTTGACTGGCCATTGCTCTGTGTGTTTTTCTTTAAAATATTGTTCAAATTTACGTTAAACTGGAATGTACGCTATCGGACACTTTGCTCTTAACACAGCTGACGTTACATTTGTTTGATATTTTCTAGGACGTAAATATTGGTATAAAAGAGTGTTTAAGCGACATAAGATATTTTGAAAAAGATATTTTTCACTGGCAACGCCGTTATCCTAGATCAGTCAAAGGTTCAAAGGATTCGTCCATTATCCTGGATCAGTCAAAGGTTCAAAGGATACTGCAGATTATTCTTACAGTTCCAGTAAATGCTATTTCAGTTGAAACGGGATATACAATTTTTACTTTTAGTAAAATTCCGAAATTTCAAAACTGTTTTCTGTTTAAGTTTGCATTTTTTTAATTTTGCAATATTCTATCATTAAAAAAAGTAAAAACAATACAAAAGCAATCGTTATAACACGTTTGTTTTTGGATCGTTTTTGGTTGACTTTTGCATATCGTTCCTGTCATCGTCAAAATTAGGCAAATTATATGAAAAGCTCGCTGCATGTACTAGTAATGAAGTTATTTCTAATTCAAAAAGAACGATTTAAAATCGTTTAAAAGGCCACAAAAAATTTACAGGTACATATATGTACTAGTACAAGTACATGTATGTTCTAGTACAAGTACATATATGTACTAGTACAAGTACATATATGTACTAGTACAAGTACATATATGTACTAGTACAAGTACATGTATGTTTTAGTACAAGTATATATATGTGTTGTATATCTTGTAATTTGTTAAAAGACTCATTTATAATTCAAAACTTTTTTCAGAGAGAGAATAAGCGGATATCCCTCCATCAAGTGGAGCAAGATGAAGTGGAGCAAGATCAGCATCAACAACATCATCATCAACAACAACAACAGCAGCATCAGCAACATCAGCAACAACAACAACAGCTAGCTCTTATCTTGTCCCATCTTGAAGGTCAACAACTTGATGAACATCAACTGGGTCTTCTACTAACACACCTAGAAGGTCTTTCCTTTGAACAACAGCAAGTTCTTGGACACCAGCTGGAAACTCAACGACAACAACAGCAAGGAGTGCAGCAGCAGAATGATGTTGAAGTGAATGGAGAACCTATTTATCAGAACCAAGGACAGATAATCGCCAGTGAAGGACTCGAACCCATTTATCAAAATTTACCTTTACCAAAGCTAGAGGAGGTAGGATTTTTAAATCTTGGTAACAATCGATGTTTTGACTTGTGGGACTTTTATAATAGTTACCTGATCCTTGGTGCTCATTTATAATAGTTACCAGATCCACGGTGCTCCTTTATAATAGTTACCTGATCCTCGGTGCTCTTTTATAATAGTTACCTGATCCTCGGTGCTCCTTTATAATAGTTACCTGATCCTCGGTGCTCCTTTATAGTAGTTACCTGATCCTCGGTGCTCCTTTATAATAGTTACCTGATCCTCGGTGCTCCTTTATAATAGTTACCTGATCCTCGGTGCTCCTTTATAATAGTTGCTCCTTTATAAATCTTAATATGAGTAACAGTGCGAAAGATAATGTTTTTTTCACCTTTAAAGAGAGTGTCTGGCTAAACATAGTTATTAAGCTGAGAATGCAGTATTAGAGAAATATTTAGAAAGCGGATTTTAAAGCTCGATTTTGAGCCCTTACTATAGCAATTTTATAATACCATAAAAACGTCTTAAAATTCTCAAATGATTTATCAAAAAATTCTCAGCTCAACTTCATTGTCTTGCCAGACTCTCCTATTTAAAATTAACAATTTCCCTTTAAAAATAACAATCTCCCTTTAAAAATAACAATCTTCCTTTAGAAAGAACAATCTCCCTTTAAAAAGAACAATCTCCCTTGAAAAAGAACAATCTCCCTTTTAAAAATAACAATCTCCCTTTAAAAAGAACAATCTCCTTTTAAAAAGAACAATCTCCCTTTAAAAAGAACAATCTCCCTTTAAAAAGAACAATCTCCCTTTAAATAGAACAATCTGCCTTTAAAAAGATAATATTCCAGGATTTTGGCGGCCAAGCGGACGATTCTAACGACGAGATATATATTGACGATACTGTTGATGGACCGTCCCGACCTAACGGGATAAACGTCGACCGAAGTCCAATTAAAATCGACCAAAGTAGTTCAAAGGAAAATAGTCCGGGTCAAGAAAATAGTCCTGCAACGAGTGAGCAACCGCCAGCAAATAGATTAAATATCAGAAAAGCGATTACTTTAAGTCGAGAAGATTTATCGATAGAGTCGACACAAACAATTGAAAAATCGAAATCTAACGAAAATCTTAGTCGACCCAATGTTGAGCCAGCCCGGCGCAAGATTGAGATGAGACAGTATCTAGGTAGTTATTTAGTTTTCAATTTTTACCAAATAAAGACATCGTTGAATGTAATTTTTAGTGATATTTCTTTAATTAAACAACTAAGAAATAATATAAAATAAAAAAGGAAGGAATTTAAACAAAAAGTATGACAAAAGAAAATATTTTCCGACGTTCAAGAATTGAACATTTTAGTTTTTGAACTTTAAAAATGTTTTTTGAATATTTTTGATAATTTCTAATTATTTTTGTTTTGCTTTAGAACCTGCAGTAAAGAAGAATATTGCAAGTTCAGATCTATCTCTTATCTCCAGCGTAAATAATTCAAATATTAGCTCGCCGCCGCCAAATAACCAGGTATTATTATTGGTATTTAAATAAATCAAGACAAAAAGGTAATTTTGTTATTTTAGAATTATTCATTGTGTTACATGCCTTTATCTAAATTTCAAATTTCAAAATGGCGCTGATTTAGGAGAAGTTGTCTTCAAAGATGGGCAATGTACACTCTGACCTAAGCTCACTAAGTGGCGGACTGCACAAAAAATCCCTTTCCTCCCTTCATGCTGACGAATCTTCACCGCAGAGTTTACATAAGTAAGAATTTTCAATGATGTTTTTAGTTGGCTGAATTCTAATAAAAATTAAATTGCCAATTTTTATTAGAATTTGTTTTATACAATATTGATTTTTTTTTCAGACCAAAAGGACGGAAACGCTGGGGCCTAAATATGGCGGTAAAATCTGGATCTTTAAAATCCACGAAATCTGATAAATCAGCTGATGGAAAATCAGCGGACGGGGATGAGAGCAGAAATTCTAGTGGGCGGGGTATGGGGGCCATGATGCTTGCTAATCTTCATGGGCTCACAAGGTACAATTCTCATTATTTAAATTTATATTTATGAAGAATTGAATAGTAGAATTTATTGATTTATTTAATTTATTAAATTATTAAATCCAAAACTAAATGAATGAATATGAACGATCATGTTAAGATCCAGACCCGATCTGCTCTCTGACACAATAAGGTCCTCAAGTCCTCTTCGGGAATTTAAAGTCCCCTCTCAAATACCCAAGCAGTCCATTGGACCATTCTTAGGTCAGTTAAAGCAGTTTTACCTCTATCAATTACAAAAAATATTCAGGAAATTAGACAATAGCCTTCGGGCATAAGACACTGGACACTAGACACTGGACAATAGACACTGGACACTAGACACTAGACACTAGACACTGAAGACTATACACTGAACACTAAACACTAGACACTAAGCACTAGACACTAGATACTGAACACCAGACAATGGACACTAGACACTGGACACTAGACTCTAGACACTAGACACTGGACACTAGACACTGGACACTAGACACTGGACACTAGACACTGGACACTAGACACTGGACACTAGACACTGGACACTAGACACTGGAAACTAGACACTGGACAATAGACACTGGACACTGGACACTGGACATTAGAAGAATAGACACTGAACACTAGAAGGCTAGACACTAGACACTGAACACTAGACAATGGACACTAGACACTAGACACTGGACACTGACACTGGACACTAGATACTAGACACTAGACTCTAGACACTAGACTCTAGACACTAGACTCTTGACACAGACATTGGACACTGGACACTAGACACTAGACACTAGACACTGGACACTGGACACTGGACACTAGACACTTTTGACATTTCACACTTGTCACTTTAGAAACTAGACAAAAGACTAATTACTTAAGACACTGAATGCTAGACTCTAGATGCTAGAAACCTGACTCTGGACACTAGATACTGGACTCTAGATGCTAGAAACCTTTCTCTAGACACTAGATACTAGACTCTAGATGCTGGAAACCTGACTCTAGACACTAGATACTAGACACTAGATACTAGATACTAGACTCTAGATGCTGGAAACCTGACTCTGGACACTAGATACTAGACTCTAGACACTAGATACTAGACACTAGATACTAGACTCTAGATGCTGGAAACCTGACTCTGGACACTAGAAACTAGACATTAGACAAAAAAATAAGAAATCACATATTTTTCTATTCTAACATTTTGTTTTATTATGATATTTTTTCTGATTTAGAGGCTAAGCTGCAAGAGGGGGAGGTGGTCAGAGAATTTCAAACTATCCCAAAGAAAAAATCAACTGGTAGGAATTTTTTGAAGAAAATAAAAAAAGTTATAAAATGGACTTTATGGTGATTTCTCATTATTTATTCTCTAGATATTATTTTAAATATAAAAATTAACTTACTAATTATTCGTTAAAGATTGAATACTTTCAATGAACATATGATTCAATGACTCAATCAAAATATGATTCAATAAATTATTGAACAAAAATGTCAAAGAATTTACTAATCAATAAATTAATGAACTAATTAAATAAGGAATTGCTGAATCAATAAATCTACTGATCAATGGTTCAATGAATCAATGGTTCGATGGATTCAGGAATCAATGGTTCAATGAATCAGTGGATCAATGAATCAGTGAATCAGTGACTCAGTGAATCAGTGACTCAGTGAATCAATGAATCAATGAATCAATGAATCAATAAATCTAATGATCAATGAATCAGTGAATCAGTGACTCAGTGAGTCAGTGAATCAATGAATCAATGAATCAATGAATCAATGGATCAATGGATCAATGGATCAATGACAATGAATGAATAGATCAAAATCTATTATGAATCGACAGATCAATGGATCAACAGATCAAAGGACAGATGAATCAATGATTCAATAGATCAATGGATCAAAGAATCAAAGGATTAATTAATGAATGAAATAATTAATCAATGAATTAATAATCATTGGATCATTGGATCAATGGATCAAAGAATCAAAAGATCAATGGTTTAATGAATCAATGCAAATGAGTCAATGAGTCAGTGAGTCAGTGAATCAAAGAATTAGTGAATCAAGTAAATAAAGGCTCAATGAATCAATGAATCAATTGATCAATAGATCAATAGATCGATGAATCAATGATTCAATGAATCAATGGATCAATGCATCAATGGTTCAATAAATTATAAAATCAATGAATTATTGAATCAATGAATTATTGAATCAATGAATTATTAAATCAATAATTTATTGAATCAATGATTTATTGAATCAGTGAATTTCTGAATAAATGAATTTTTGAATCAATGAGTTAATGAATCAATGATTGTGTAGGCTGTACAACTGATGTAGCAAACCTTCCGGAGAATATCCCTAGAAACCGGTTTAAAGATGTTGTACCGTATGATACCAACAGAGTTAGAATAAACAACGAGAAGGTATATACATTTTACAAAAACCATAAAAATTAGTAATTAAAAAGTGGCATTCTTTCTTTGTAATTTGCAACTGAACATTGCAGCCATAGATTAATAATAACACAGATAGAACACTAGATGTCGTCTTTTCAAGATTAAGAGGTGGGTCGTTCATAAACCCTGAGGCAGTAGCTAAAAGGAGTAACGCGCATGCTGCGTTGAATGACAAGAAATAGAGAGAGCATTCGTGTAATTCCTTAAGGGCTTCTGCCTCAGATTTATCGCGAACTTAAATCTTGAAAAGACGACATTTATTGTTCTACCTGTGTTGTTATTGTAATTGTAAATTTTCAGATTAAAAATTCCATGGAGACATTTCTTAAGTAAAAGGAAGAACAACGACGACATTCATTCGACTACTTTCTGGCTTTCACTATTTGCAAATAGATTATTTCTTGAATTATATTTATTTCCATGTTTTTCTCTCGTACTAGTTAGAGGATTTAGATTAGCTTTTTCGTGGAGTTCTTCCGTGAAAAGGAAGACGATATTGTAAATTGGCTCTTGCTACAATATTCGTCTTTTTTTAAAAAGAAATACTTCTGCATTTTAGAACTTTCTGAAAAATTAGGGGGGGGGGGTAGGGATCAATAAGAATACTAAGTTTATAAAAATAATAATGATTTATTGTTTAAGGATAATAAGTATGGTTATATCAACGCAAGTCATATATCCGCAACAGTTGGATCCAGTCAACGGTTCTATATAGCAGCACAGGTAACCTTTATAGCTTGCCAGCAGGATTAGCCGGTCCTCTTCATTTACGAGGCTGCTAGAGCATCAGGAAACCCGCCGGTCGCGGGTGGCAACCAAGGATTATGAAATAGAAGGGAGCTACAACTGACAATAATAAAGATTGTAAACAATAAAACAAATGATATAAACAAACATCTGGCATTTCTGGCGTTAGATGAAGATTCGCCGTATACTAACTCATGTTTGTTTACATTAGATCGGCTGCCATTGTTATGTTGTTACGCAAAAACTAGTACTTCAGCAGTCCAAAAACGTCAAAGCAAAGTGTACGGAAACCCTACGCCCCCTCCTTCTATTGTATAGTGTACAATACGCAATAAACGTTAAGAGAACAGTGTACACTGTCCCAGTGTAATAGTGGTAACTGGTCGGAGTTGAACTAATTCCATTCCAAAAAATACAATATTAAGACATTTTTAATCAATTTTCTAATTTTATTGAATGTGTAAATTAACTAAAATGTTAACTATGTTTGGATTTCTGTAAATTGTTAATTTTATTCTAATTAATTTTCAGGGTCCCTTACCATGTACTGTACATAACTTCTGGACTATGGTACATATGTGCGATGTACATCTTATTGTGATGCTAACTGAAGTATCTGGAGCCTCCAAAACCTCTGCCTGTATCCCATATTGGCCTCAAAACGACGGATCCTCCATTGAAATTGGAGATTTCACAATTACCAAAAATTTTAGTTCAAATCAGGGTTCTTACACCACAACAACTTTACAGCTCCTACATACAGCTTCAAGGTATAGAATGTTGATGTTGGTGTTGTAGTTGATGTTGATGTTGATGTTGATGTTGATGTTGATGTTGATGTTGATGTTGATGTTGATGTTGATGTTGATGTTGATGTTGATGTTGATGTTGATGATACAGCATTAATTATGGAATCAGGGTTGGATATAGTAAATTTTCTGGAAAGAAAGAAATAGGGGATAGGCCGATAGCACAACATTTTTACTTCCATTTTGATCATCCATCAACTTGATATGAGAAATAGAAAATCGTCATAATTGTATTGATATAGACGCTGACAACTGTTATATTTAGGGTTTTTTATTTTCAAGCATTTTTCTAATAATGATTTTAATGTTCTGGGTAAAAAAATGAAATATTGGACATGAAGTTTTTTACCCAAATATTCATTTATTATCCCTAATTCAGCAATAGGACCTTTTAACAGATTTTGGGCTGTGCGTAAACACACCTAACATAAAGGAAAACAGATCATACTTAAAGATAAAATTTCTAGAAAAAAATTAAGTAAATATATATCCCTGTTTCAGGCGGGTGAGATTCCTGCTGGTAATAACAAGAACCCCCCTGTCCTACTTCACTGTTCTGCCGGGGTTGGTAGAACAGGGGTAACTATACTTGCAGATATTCTCCTCTACTGTGTAGATCATAATATTGATATTGATGTACCCAAGGTAAGAGTTTTTTAAAGAAAACATTTTGAATATTTAGCAAAACGTTTTTTACGAATCCTCCCCCTCAGTTTTGATTTTGCTGGTTGTTTATTTTGTTGTTCAAAAAGTTTGGAATTTTAGGATTTACAATTGTCGTCTTGTATGTTGCTTAGTATATTTTGTAAATAATTATAACACATTCTTTAACTAGTAGTTTTTACCAAAATCTACTGTAAGCGTAATTTTATGTGAACCTCTATGCATAGATGGCAATACCCGATTTTTATTTACATTTTTGGGTTCTCTGTTAAAGTTACTTGAGCATTTCTAATTAATAAGAAACAATGGAGAAATTATTAGAATCAAACATTTTTCGTTTTTAGGTTTTGACGCATTTACGAGAGCAGCGAATGTTGATGGTTCAAACCCTAGCCCAATATCAGTTCGTTCACACTGTACTTATCAACTACCTTTCTCATTCAAGGCTTATCTAGGGCCCAGACCAGTTTATCCAGGGAATTCCAGGGTCCCGAGAAAATCTTCTAAAATCAAAACCGAGAAATGCGGGAAAAGTGTATATATTTCTTCAGTAAAGGCCGGAAAAATCCGGCCATTTCCGCCACTTCAAAATGTGATAAAGAACGAAACTGCAATAATCGACATATTTTTACTTTTTTACTATTGACATATCTTTCATCTTGTAAAAAATGTGTTTCTGTTTTAATCTTTTTTTTATCTTTTTTTGACAGATAATTTTTGTTTTACATTCCGTGTTTTTAGAAGTGTAATGTTAGTTTTTTGTACTTTTTTGTACTGTTCTGTACTGTACTGTACTGTACTGTACTGTACTGTACAGTGTCGTTATTTTAGAATTTGAATGGTATTTTTGTTTTGTTATTATTTATCTGACAAATATGTTACAAATTCTGTGATTTCAACTTATCCATTCCATCCTATTAACTGCGTCACAAATTATCACCTTAAATGACAAATTAAGTTTAATTAGATGCACAAATTCAATAAAAGTATTAAACAATTTCTGATTTATATTCGTGAAGATTGTTTTTTTATCCCCTGAAGTGATACAGTAATAACCAGAAAACTCTGGAATAGGAAGACGACTTTTAGACTCGAGTATTAACTTTAAATAGCATTTATTATGAGCCAGAGCATGGGTAAAAGTTGTGCGGTGTAAGCAGATCCATTTCACTTAATTGGTGATTTAATATGCGTCGGGTAAAACTTTGCTTTGTAATAACATCAAATACGCAAGTATTGTTATAAAGTCGTCTTCCTATTTCAGAGTTAACTGGTTATGATAGTAGATCAAATTATATTAAATGCGCAAATTCAATAAAAATTACTAATTAATGTCTTCAATTTACGTCATGATTTGTGTCAACAATTAAAGAAATTTTGCCATTATTGACCATTATTATTCCCCCAAACAATCAATATTTGGAGGGGGAAAAAGAAAAATTTTCCCCATATTCATTCATTTGAGAATTAAAAGTATACCATTATTCTATATCATAATGCTCTTAGCTCATATATATATTTATATTTATATAAATATTTATATTTATATTTATCAGCTATGCCGGCCAAACGGTTGAACCAAATTGGTTGGAATTTTTGAGCCAATTTGGTTGAATTTTAAACTTCTTTCTTGGATATCGAATGTGTATTAACCAACGAGATTATAGTGTATAGAGTGATGATGTACACTAATCCCTTACTAATTGCATAGATTATAAAATATACCGAGAGCGTACAGCATATTTGTTTATTATAAGCTGATTCTGGCCTAAACACAGACTGCTTATCTCCTTTCACAGGGTGGGCTACGTAGGTCTAACTTGACCCGACAAGGCATGCTACGTTATCAAGATAGGTTTTTAGGTTTTAAGTTTTACATTTTTTAAAGAAATACTCCAATTTTAAACATAACATTTATGAATTCAGTCTTATTTGAAGATTTTGTGTTTTGTATCCAAAGGATCCTTAAATATCCCTGAATACAGATGTTTGCTGATAGGTCGTTTACAGTACTGTACGTGCTGTGGAAAATATCGCATATTTTAGCTGATAATCGATCTCTGTAATTCTCTTATCTCTGGGCCTAACTTATAGTCTATCAATATTAGTAAACATTTGTGTGTACAAAGCTAGGAACTATAGAATGGTGTATTAATGATTGATCCTCTCTTTTTGCTAATCTCGAGATTAAATATTAAAATCAACAAATTTGATTCTAGGAACGTCAGATTTGTTGGTTTGTGGTATGCAGTTTAAAATTTGTTATTTCCATAAAGATCGAAATAGGTCAAACATTCATCACAAAGTTTAAATAACCAAAAAATATTTCACCATATGGACATAAAAATAATTCAAATGACCTAAAAAATAGTTAGAACCAAATAGTTCAAATGAGCAAAAAAAAATTGAAAAAAATTTTATACAAAACTAGTATATCTTTAGGGTTATTTTAGGTTAAGACAATTTTCTGGGCCGAGCATTGCGGCTAGGACAGGCTAGGGGGGCGAGCGCTGCGGCTAGGACAGTCTATAGGGCCGGCCACATGTGACCAAATTTATCCATGTGTTAAATATGAGATGCTAGAGTGTTGTGTCAACTATTGTTTGCCACATTTTTACTATTTTTTTGCTCGTATGAACTATGTTTTGCTCATTTGAACTATTTTATGGCTCATTTTAACTATTTTTTGGTACATTTTAACTATTTTTTTGCTCGAATTAACTATTTTTTGCTCATTTGAACTAAATGTTAGCTTATTTGAACTTTTTTTTGCTCATTTGAACTATTTTTGGTTCAGTTAAACTATTTTTTTGATTAAACTATTGAACTATTTATTTTGGCTCATTTGTACTATCTTTTGCTCATTTGAACTTTTTTTTGGTTCATTCTAACTATTTTTTGGATCATTTTGAACTATTTTAATTAATGGTTCAAATGAACAATAGTTCAAACGACCAATAGTTCAAAAAGTGAAAAGTTGAAACTAAATAGCATCGTAAAACCAGGAGATCAAGCATAATCTCGATAGCTAAAGTTTTCAGCTCAGAAATGATTGGAAAATTTAAATGAAAACTGACTAAAACCCTTAACTTGATGTACATTACGATGGGGGCTAAATATTTAGTTCTAGAGGAGGGGGGGGGGGGGGGTTCCAAACACATGCGCACAGATGATAATCAAAGTTGGAGGGGGAGAGATTTATGGGATCAGCTTTCTCCAGAGCGATATGGGAAGGGATTGGTAATTATTTAACCACAAAAAATGAAAACAGCTGGTTTTATTTTCAACCCCTAAAAAGTTCTAAAAAATTTTCGGCCCCCTCCCAACTAATAAATGCCCCCCCCCCTCCCTCTTTCCCCTATTCCAACCCATGGGTCCTAGCCAGGGGCTCAGGACACAGGTAAACGACACAGGTCAGTATCTCATAACCTATCCCACTGAGTATCCGAGCCTCAACAAGTATTTACAACAACAACAAAATATGTAAGAATTCCAAAATTAAAAACCCAACTGAACAGCTCATTATTCTTTTTATCCATTTGGCGTACATAATTTTTTTAAAGAGTGGGGAGGGAATAGTAAATGAGGTCAATATCATGTTTTTGGTAAATATGTGACCATTACTTATAACATTTATTAAACAATGTCTATAAAATAAAACAAGACATTTGTATACATGTTCCCTCTGGCCGGCCAAACGGCTAAACCGAAAGGTCTGACATTTTTATGGACGCTCATGGGCTACAAAAAAAATCTATTTTTAATTTCAATTTTTTATGCAATGCCGGGCACTTCAGCTAGTTTTTCATTAAATGAAATGAGAGTCAAAATGTTAAAAAATGAAGATCTTAATTATACAATGTGTCTTTACTCAATCAACTTACACCGTACGTAATTTTTATTAAAGAGAATAAATAATGCTCGTTGTTTGATATCTGGAAAAAAAGATAAATTTCGTCATTTTTCTCATGCGTTCCTGCTAGAAATCTATTTTAAAAGTTACAGCAATTATAAGTAATTTATCTTTCACTCAGGTTTACAAGGAATTCCGTTGTAAATCGGGCATGTAACGTTTTTAACGGAGGGATCAGGCCACTTTAAACTAAATAAACAGTCCCTTTATCACAGAGGGATCAGGCCACTTTAAAGTATATAAATAGTCCCTTTATCACGAAGGGATCAGGCCACTTTAAAGTATATAAATAGTCCCTTTATCACGGAGGGATCAGGCCACTTTAAGGTATATAAATAGTCCCTTTATCACGGAGGGATCAGGACACTTTAAAGTATATAAATAGTCCCTTTATCACGGATGGATCAGGCCACTTTAAACTATATAAATAGTCCCTTTATCACAGAGGGATCAGGCCACTTTAAACTATATAAATAGTCCCTTTATCACGGAGTGATCAGGACACTTTAAACTACATAAACAGTCCCTTTATCACCAATTGTTTAAAGGTCTGGACTTATCTCAGAAGAAGCTTTGTCAAGAAAAAGGTGAGTAACAGTTTGCAGATAGAAGACCAAAGGATTTACGCGCACTTGCCGCGTTAAGCTACAAGACTGAGAGACTGTTCTAGCCGGGGCGCTCGGCCCCCTAGCCCGTCCTAGACAAAATGCTATAATCTCTCTCTTTCTTGTAATTTTACGCGACAAGCGCGGGTGACTCCTTGGGCAACTCCCAAGTTTGCATAGCTTTAGTATTCTTCCAAGTTAATTGATGTGGATTAAGTTCTTCTAAACATGAAGAGTGAAGACTGTAAGAAGATCAATTGTCTGAAATAATGTAAACATGTGTTTTCTCTTAAAATATCACAATCCCAAGGTTAAATTAGGTCTTCTGCCTTTTGAAAAGCCTTCTAATGGCTTATTAAATGATTTTACAAAAAAAATTAAGTTTACAATTGCAAGGAATTAAGAAGGTAAGAAAACAGACGGTATAAATTCTGTACAATTGTCTCGGTTGTCTCGTCCTTTGAGGGAAACACTATAATATTTAAAAAAACGACGAAACCCATGATGTTTAAATTTTCTGAAGATGATGTAGGTTGACCCAATTTCCAGATACCTAGAAAACCCATGGAGTGTAAGTTAACTAGTTCTAGCATTGAAGGAACTGAGTTATTGCCACAAACTAAAATTTTCGAACTCCTATATCTTTGCAACAGAAAACATACATTTATGCAACAGGCAACATACATTTATGCTACAGGAAACATACATTTATGCAACAGGAAAAAACATGTAAATTATCAGATATGAGACAGGAAAAAACTAAAAAAGCTTTTTTTGTTCTGAATCAGACATGCTGCTCTGTTAATGGAGGGTTATTTTAAACTACTAATATTTGTTTGTACAGGAATGAGGTTGAAAGAAACAGAGAGAAAGCCAGGTATTATTCTGTACTGTACTGTCCTGTACTGTACTGTACTGTACCCGGGAACCATCGTTTTTGCCTTAACAAAGATTTAGGATAATTTTCTTTTATTTCTGTTTGATTTATCCTTACTTAATGTTTAGCAAGAGAAAACAGAAGTTCTATAATTTTTATGAAATTTTGTTTTAAAAAAGTCTTTTTTGAATCTTAAAAATGTTTCTTGTAGGTTACTAAGGGCAGAAGCTGAAGCTAAAAAAGAACAAGCAGCTGATCTTCAAAGGTAAAATATTTAAAGTTAAGCAATTGTAAAAAATGCACTTGAAGTTATTATTGCAGCCAATTGGAAGATGTTATACAATTTAGTGTTCATATATACATTGTACATACAATAATTGATATATATTATATTTGAATTGTATAGATAGTCATATTTCTGATAACAGCCATTTTTGTCCTATCTTGGGTCAGTTTTACTCCAGCTGTATATACTGTACAAGCTACAACTTGCTCTTGCTGCCTAAAATTCGTTTCGGTTTAAAAGTGACTCATCATTTTTTATTTAAAAAGTTACATATTTAGCTCTAATAATTTGTTTTAATTAAATTTTACAATATTTTTGAATATATACATGATAAAAGATAAAATATTTTGAGATTTCTATATTTCTTGTTCTTCATTTTCATCTTTTTTTTGTTCATCTTTCATAGATCAAAAATTATTCAGTAAAACAGTTACAATTGTAAATTATTTAAATTCAATATGGCGGATTTAAAAGACGACAAAAACATGATAATTATCTGTCTATCTCCAGGGAGGAGGAGAGACTAGGTGAGGAAGCGGATAATTTGGACAGGGAGAGATATAATAAAGAGTGGCAGCAACCAATGTAAGAATTTTTACTGATTACCTTTACCCTGAGGGGTGGGGGAACCACTGTAAGGATTTTGTAATGAATTGTTTGTATAACAAACTCTATGTATAGTGTACAGAACGTAAAAAACTCGAAAATAGCCCAAAACTTATTTGTTATTAAATGTACAGAGCTAAAAACTACATTTCAAAAAATGAAAAATGGATGTATAAACATTTTTTACAACTTAATATTTTATCAAAAATAAAAATAAAAAATTTTCACACTTTTTTGACCCTTCATTTGATATTTGTTTTCAAACCTCCCTAGCACCCAAACTATAAAAGTTAGCGGTTTAATTTTTATTTCAATGAGCTTTATTCTAAAACAAAGTTAAAGAGGATTGACTCAATTTATTAACGAAGGAGCCAACTATTCACTTAATTGAAAGTTCAGTTATATTACAGTTTATCCCATCTAAAGAATCTGTGGAATGTCGTCTTATACTATTATATCTAAATCTCAGTAATTGTAAAATAGATAAATAGCCTGGAAACACAGAGGAATAATTTGTAACAGCTCCATATAATTATTCAATGAAAAGACGAAATATCTACAACATTCCATTATCATGGTAGGTTAAGAAAGCTTCTTTTAATGTCTTCGAAGTTCTAGGTTAAACTGTAGATAAGAACAAACAGTAACTTGATAAGCCGATCCGCTCTGTTAACTGCTAACAAACAGATTGAAAAATTATTGAATGTGTCTATGTACAGAGGTAGGGAAGGCAACCTCCTTTGCACAGCTTCCGAACCTCATTTTACCTATTTTCGGCAATGCGCGTCCCCATAGGGCCTCCGAACCTCCCCCAAACAGTCTTCAGGGCTTCCATTTATTATCGTCAATTTCTACTTTAAACTGGGACTAATTTGATTATTTAAATACGGTAGTCCATCTATAGTATCCTTAACATTTTCATAATATTTTTGTAGATTTTTTAGTTTTTAGTAATTTTGGCAATGATCTAGTTAAAGAAAATGTAATTATCTTTCGATCTATAATTATCTGTAGTGCTCGTAAAAAAAAGTGGTATGGAGGAGCCAGGGTAGAGATGGAGTTGTGAATATGAGTGTTAGTAACTGACTGCCGGTTGAAGCGGGGATCTAAGGTGAGCGGGGATTTGATACATGTGGTGTGCTTGCTTCCTGTGTACACAAACATTGAGAATTAACGTCGGCATTTGAGTCGGAAAAATCGTCTTCCTTATATTTCGAATTTATTTTAACAATCATATATACAGGGTTACCCACAAAAGATGAGACTTTAAAGGCGACCTGAAACTCGTAAAATATGACGATCTTAAGTTGCATCAATTTACATGACAGGGTCGACTTTTGTGTAGCCCTTAACATGACAATTTTAGAACTTTAAAGCACTGTTTTTTTAGCTTTAGTTTTTAAGAAGTAACTGGCAAACTTCTTATGAATTTTGGCGTAAGAGCTTGCAACCTTTAAATCACGGTGTGTAAGGCTCTAAACTATAAAAGTCTCGTTAAGGTTGGAGAAAAGAATTGCAGACAATGAACGACGATATGAAGATTTTAAAAAGGGTAAATTAATTATAGGAAAAAAAGTTCATGTTTATCAAACTAATATATATTTTTATATAGAAAAGACCGATACAGAGAGAATTGTTGAAATGTACAGGTATAATCAAAGTAATAAAATAAGTAAAGTTAATTCAGTTTTTAACTTTTTAATAAATTACAAAGGCTTTTTTTTAGAAATTCTATCGCTAGTCGGGAAAATGAAGTGACCTCACTTAGAAGCCATGCTGACCAAAAAAAGACAGAAGCTGAAAGGCTAAGGGGGGAGGTTTGTACATTGAAAATTAAATACTGTGTTCTTATTGGTTCTTAAACACTAAATACTAAACACTAAATTAAAAAGCGGACATTTTTCTCTATTTCTCTGTTGCACATTTTGGCATGAAAACTCATTTAATCTTGATCTGAAAAAGCTTTTAAGGCCTGGGTACTGTTTTGACTATTAGTATATTCCACTCTTTCTAAATAGAAGATCAGTTGAAATTATGTTAACAGTCTCTCTAATCAGAATCCATTTTAAGGCTGGTCAGAGTTGTGTTTTGGGAATTGATCATAGATCACATGGAAACCTGGCTCAAGCTAATCCGATCCTGAGACAGGTTGAACAGCTGTCAGTATTCATTAGTTTTCATCTTTTTCAAAAAAATCGAATTATTTTCTGATTAGGTTAAACGAAGCAGAAGAACTTAATAACCAAGCAAACGAGCATCTCAGGAAAAGATTCTTCAGATTTTAATTTTTATTTTATTAACCCTATCACGATTGATGTTTTTTCTTTAAAACAACCGGCGTACACTGGAACAATCAAATATTTTTGACTTCATAGTTGTAACAATTTGTCCAATTTTTTTATGGTGGAGGACGTTCAAACGGTTTGTCGGTGTCTAAAAAAAATCAAACATAATCAGTATCTTTTTAATTAAGCTAAAAACTTAAAATTTATATATATATATAAGAAAAGCTTTGAACAATGGATGAAATAACATTTGTGTCACGCACTTTTTGAACCTTTTTTTAACCCTACCTAACACCCTAACCATTAAAGTTGGAATTCTAATTTTTTATCAAAGTTGGACTAGGGACATGTATTACACTCCCCTGCATTTTTTATTAGATAATAAAAGCTCAATCGGGATAGGGTTAATTTGGAATTTTGATAAAGGTTCAAAATGAAATTTTAGCAATTTTTGTTCCAAAGACAAATAGAGATTAACAAGCAAGAAGTTGAACGCCTGACAGCTAAATCTATTGACAATGCTAACTTCGGGTCAGTTTATCTATTTTCATTTAAGATTGCGTTAGATTAGTTTAAGATTGTGTTAGAATAGTTTAAGAGTGTGTAAGAATAGTTTTTGATTATGTAAGAATAGTTTTTGATTGTGTAAGAATAGTTTATTATTGTGTTAGAATAGTTTAAGGTTGTGTTAGAATAGTTTAAAGTTGTGTTAGAATAGTTTAAGATTATATAAGAGTAGTTTAAGATTGTGTTAGAATAGTTTAAGATTGTGTTAGAATAGTTTAAGATTATGTTAGAATATTTTAAGATTGCTTAAGAAAATTATAAAATGGGAGAAAATTAATTTTAAAGTATAGGAACGAAAACGTTTTTTTTTTAAATTTAATCTGAGCAATTTAATTATTTGATAGTGGATATAAGAATAGTGTAATGTTAGAATATAATAAAATCATTTAATGTTTTTGATTTTAGAGAAGAACTGAGACAGGGAATGGAGAATATCCAAATTCAAGTTAGTTTCGTACAAATGATAAAACATTTAGTTCATTTCAAAAAAACATCATTAACATTAAATATCTTTACTTCAAATTATTAAATTTCATCAAATTAATTTATTGATTGATATTTATAGATCAATGTTGCGTCACAATCAGACTTAAATGCGTCAAGAGAAGCAATTATATTGAGTTAATTTACACAAACAACTTTACTTTATGATTCCTATATCTTGCAACCTGATAATTCGATCCTTCAAACATTTAAGACAGTATTTATAGTTTGAAATAGCTAAAGTCAATAAAATCAGGTTGAAAACATGTATGGATTAAAAAACTTAAGCATGGGTATAGTATACTATCTCTCATCTCTATTATATTATCTCTCATCTCTAAAATATTATGTCCCATCTCTATCATATTATCTCTCATTTCTATTATGTTATCTCCAATCTCTATTATATTATCTCTCATCTGTATTTTAATACCTCGCATCCCTATTATATTATCTCTCATCTCTATTATATTATCTCTCATCTCTTTTAAATTATCTCTTTTCTCTATTACATAATCTCTCATCTCTATCTCATTATCTCTCATCACTGTTATATTATCTCTCATCTCTATCTCATTATCTCTCATAACTATTATAATATCTCTCATTTCTATTACATTATCTCTCATCTCTAGCTCATTATCTCTCATCTCTATCTCATTATCTCTTATCTCTATTAAATTATCTCCCATCTCTATTATAATTATCTCTACTTATTCCAGTTGACTGAGCTAAGAAGGGATCTGGAGGAGAAAAGAAGGTAAACGTCAATTTTTGATTTTTACTACAGTGATAACCAGAAAAATTTAAAATAGGAAGACGACTTTTAGAACTAATTTATACATTTAAAAAGTCCACTGACCATGAAACAAAGCAATAATGCAGTGTTAACAGAACCATTAAATAAATTATTGATTTAATAAGTGTATAGTAAAACTAGTTGATATGTAACACTCTTTAGTATTGCTAAAATGTCGTTTTCCTATTCCATTGTTTTATGGTTATCACTGTATGCCTTCTAATTTTATCCCTTTTTTGTTTTACTATAGCTCAGTTTAATTTGACATATTTGTCATATTTACACTTGCCTTTATATGTTAGCCATAAAAAAACCCTGCCATAAATTAAATTGCTATTAACCTTATTAAAGCTATATTTATCTTTTGTAAATATGATTTGCATAATTCAAATAAAGATGATAAAAAGCAACATTAAATAAACATATTGACTTCAAAATTGTTTAGGCACATAATCCAATTTGAATTACATAAGATGAAATTATATAAAGGGATTGTGAGCGTATTTTCAAATGACCCTACACTCCATGCAAGATGACCAAGCCCGATTTACCCTTGAAACCTTATCAGCTTAATGATTTTGAAGATATTGTCTCTTTTCTAGTGTGAACCCAACCAGGATTTATACCTATGTACATAATTATATAAGTTCATTGCTCCCAGTTGGAGAAATGATGCACATAACAAATGCAATCTAAGAATAAAGCCAAACAAAAAGGTTATATGAACTCAGGGTATGTCTGCAGCCTTAAATACATAACCTCTCCTCCTATCTAGAGATACGACCCTTTGGCTGTGGGGTGCAAGGATCGATGCTGGAGAAAGGAGTAACGATATAGAGGGTCAGGGGTATTGAACCCTCTTTCTTATCTAGAGAACGGTATTTATTTTGCCAGCAGAGAAAGCAGATCGTCAGAGATCTTAGCCCCAGAGTTCCATAGGGAAGTTAGTTAGCACCAAGCATCTGATCAGAAGAGTCAAATGGATATATATTCGCTCCTTGCGAATGTCATGTATACTTAGATCAACTCTAGTTGGTCCAACAATAATCACCTGTATCGTTATAATGTAAATATATTGTGTCAAGTCCTGGGAGATATTCAGAACGCTCTGCAGCAAGCCATGATAGCAGCTTGTCTACAGTTGTTAAACCCAATGCTTAGAGCTCAGATGCCTCCTGGGATGAATGCTCTCAACCAGATGGCCATGATGGGCGGAGGAGTTTTGCCCTTTGGTCCACCAGGCATGGGCAAGTTCCAGCATCTTCAGCAGCTTGCCATGGCCTGCAGCAGATGTCAGGGTGTGCAACTATGCTTTGTTATTTTACTCAATCTTGGCTTTTTCATACTGAATTCTTTTCAAGTCTATACTAGGTATAAAATTGTTTATTTCTCAAAAATTCCTGACATTTTTTTTGAAGTAGAAATGTGCAACTAAAAATTATTCGCTTCAACGGATGAAACTCGTTAATGAGAACGGTTTTAAAGTGTACTCATTCCAATTACAACCCAATGCTTCTAATCATTCGCTTTACCGGATGAAACTCGTTAATGATCAGCTTTAAAAATTAAAAACATTGATATCGAATTGTTAATTGATACTTGACAAGAGACATTTTTTAAGGGTAACGTTGCGAACCGGGCTTTGGCACCTTTGCATGGAGTGTAACTTGAAATTACTCTAACAGTCCCATTAAGCAGAACTGTTTTTTTTTTAGAGAATCTGAAGCAAAAAGGAAGAAGGTGTTAGAGTTACGGTAATAATAAACAATTTAGTGCTTTAGGAAAGCTTCTAGAAATAAGAAAACTTATTTAAACAAATTTAGGGCAACTTAAAAAGGATGAGTCTTTAATGACGACCTGAAAAAAATCAATGCAATGAATAAGGTGGGTTATGCTGCAGTAGTCGGCGTTTATATCAATACAAGGAAGACAAATGTTCTTTTTAATTTTTGATTTCTAACAAGTTTTTTTGTAGATTACAAGTTTAAAATTGACAAAGAGAAGCTGTTAATTGACAATAGGGCTGGGCGCGTTCCTGGTGGAACGATCGTTCTTTCCCGAGAACGAACGGAATGATCAAGAACGATCCCATGGTTCCGAAAAAAACGAACGCTTAGAACGCGTTCTTAAAAATTTATAACGATTAGTAAAAGAATTGCTTGAAAAGAATGGTTAAAATCATTAACGCGTTCTTATTTTCAAGAACTCGTTCTAAGTTGGGAACGCATTTTAAATCAGGAATGTGTTTCCAGTTCAGATTTTCTCTATATGCGAAATTAAAAGATAGAATTATTGTAAATGACATTAGACACAATAATATAGAAAAGTAAGATACCGCTGCTGCTGAGAAGGAGGAGGAAGCTGAGAAAGCTGAAGAGCAGGTAGATTCAACTTTCAAGTCATGACGATTGACGTAGTTATCCATATTTATTTACAGAAACACTGGTAATTGTTAAACACTTTATATTTAAGAAATATTAATATCCACTGTCCATAAATACACTCTAGTTTTTCGACAATTCGATTACCATATTAGAGATGAACACGCGGATTTCTCTGTTCTCTAAGATCAATCCAAGGTAAAAAGGGTACCCTTTTAAATCGGACATTCCACTCTTTTGTCAAAAGGTCACTTAAAATTCCAGTTTAAGGATTACAGATTTATCAAAATCAAACCTACCAGCTCTGGTTAGGCAGGTCCTGGCTTGATCATAGCATGCAATTTGATTAATTGATTGATAAAGGCTGAGAAAGCAGAAAGAGAGGCGGAAAGAATTGATCAAGAACTGCAACAATTAATGAGAGAACAAGGAGGCATGTGATGATGTGCCGCCCCCCTACTATGGGCATCTGATGATGTGCCCACCCCCTCTCCTATGGGCCTGCTTACAAGGCGTGATCAATCATTTTTGTTGAAAGTCTCAGCTCTAAATTTTTTTTAAAGTTCATTTTTTGTATCAGATACTTTTTTGGCCAGGTTTGCGTCAAGCAGATTGTTGTTATGATGTAAGAAGTGTTCTCCTGGAGGTGGATTTGCTTCGTTGTCACAGCATAGGAATATCTAGAATATTAACCAGAGAAAGAGGTGCACTTCGGTTTTTTAAAATGCTTTTATTAAACGATGAAAAAAGCAAGCCGAACCCTTTAACATATTTAAAACGATTTTATAAAATTTAATATTGGTTTAATGAGGTTAAGAAAGAAAAAATGAATATTTGAAGAATTATGAAATATCCGGGCGGGAAAATACCGTAAAGACCCAAAAAATAGTTCAAAATATCGCAAATTGTTTAAACCATATTAGCAAGGATTCAAGAAGTATGTTTACCAGACAGCCTGATATATACTTTGACATTGTGAACAAAGTTGTAAAGCAAGATTTAAAAATGACAAAGATCTGGGTTAAATGAATTAAGTGTTTACCACAAACTCTGATTTTCTAATCCCTATATCTTTGGAACCCATAAGCCATTGAATTTTTAAGCTTTTATTATTTGATCTAACAGAAGTCATAGTTTGAAATGTCAAATGTCTACAACATTGGACTGCAAAGATATAGGGATTAGAAAACCAGAGTTTGTAGGAAAGATTCAATTGCTTTATCTCTGGCATAGGACCAAAGGTATGATATTGATTATGGATCTTAAATGTAAATAAAAACCGGAAAAAATCCTCAAAAATCATTTAGACATCTAAAACAGTTTGAAACCATTCTGAAAATGTTCTTGCTGTGATGAACGAAGCGGATTACTTTCAGGCTAACGCTCTCATCATTACAACAAAGATCTGATCAACATCAAATGATTTAAGAAAAAATCAGCATGCACAAAAAAGTGAATTTTTAAAAAAATTACAGGGCTGAAAAACTACCGTTAAAAAAAGCGTTAGAAAAAATAATATAAACGTTTTACAATTAGTTATCATTTATTCCAAATTAAACTTTTGTAAAATTCCCTTCAGTATTGTAAATTTTAACGTAAATTTTCTTTATTGTGTGCCATTGATTATTCTTTAACAATTATTTCAGCTTTATGTCCAATTTTTAACCAAACAATTTCCTGTAAAAGTTAAAGTTGCTATAGCTTTATTAACTATAGCTTCATTAACTATAGCTTTATTAACTATAGCTTTATTAACTATAGCTTTATTAACCTTTTTTAATTCTAATTTTAAAAAAAATCTTTTATAAATTAATTTACTTAAAGCCTAGTATGATTAAGTCCATTAAAATGAAACATTTTAAAAAAATTGATTTTGCTCACAAGATATAAAGGTATAAGTTTGTTTTGATAACTTTTTCATGTATTTTTTTAAACCATAATAAAAATGTCAAAATATTAAAAAAATTGTAAATGTGTGTAAATTTTATAAATTGTACTAGTAATAAAAAATAAATGCTAATAAAATATTTTATTTTTCAAAAATATAATCGGCCAAACCTTTTACGGAAAAAGCTGAATCTGTATCTTTATGAATGAACTAGCTTGGGAATCCAGCGTTGCCCATGGGGTACTCATAGTTACTCCCGCCGTTTACCCATGTTTGGTATAAAATTTAGATTTTAGCTATTATTTTCAAAGTCGACCTACTCAACTCGTTAAGATGTAAACTGCCCCCCAAAAAAGTGTGATATACATCATGTTCCAACCGACCTGATGGGCATCTGTACTTATCATTGAGTAGTTTTTAAAGAAAATATCAAGAAGTTATCCCCCACAACTGTTTAACTTAATGTAAGACGACATTTAATAAAGGTGCATTATTTTTTTCCAAAAACGACCGTTTTTATATAGTTCGTCGTTTCGTTAACGATCGTTAACGACAACCCTTCGTTAACGATCGTTTAAGAATATATACAATACACATGAATAAGAATATATACATTACAAGTCATTTTCTGCCAGGTTTCCTTTCAGGACTTCCTCAATTTTTCATTGTCCTTAAGAACTAAATAAAGATTCTTTATGAATTTAAGTTTAAACCTGTAAATCCGTGGTATGCAGACAATTCCCTAAATATTCATTAATTAGAGGGCTAGTCTGATTTTTTATTTCAGAGGACTGGTCTGATTTTTCATTTCTGAAGAGAATAGTCTGATTTTAAAATCAGACTAATAAATTCAGACAGCATCTTGCCCCTACCACTGCCAACTAAAATGTTCACATTCTGACACAGAAATCTTCAAAATAAAAATAAATTTGTAATAAAATGGACATTTTTAAAAACCACTTTGTACAAAGAATATGCGGGGTTCTTGAAGAATACATGCGACTTTCACTTTGCAAACTAGTGTACACTTCAGTTGATTGTCAATTTAAACACCACTTTAGAGATAAACACACAAAGTTCTCTGTTCTAAAATGAATGTTTACAGGGTACCTTTGTTAATCAAGAATTCCTCTCTTTACATGGAGGGTCACTTGAAATTACTGAAATTTCTTTTTATTGTCTTTTTCTGCAGTGACACTTAATTTAGTCCCAATAAGTATGATAGAACTTGTGAGAGTCCCAGGGTGTCATCTGTGTGACTTTGTTCAGGATGAAAAAAGAACAAATTAAGATTTTTTATCAAAGATTACTAAAGCACCAAAGAAAATTATTTTTTTTCTTAATATACAAAATTTTTCTTAATATACAAAATTTAATCATGATTCACATTTATCATTCATATTGAATTTATCTCTGAAAAGTCAGATATATTTTTTATAACAAACTAAGTCACTGAGTGATTTAAAAATTATCCACAACAATTTTGTTTTCATTCTGACACAAACAAATCATTTTGAATTATAATGAATTATAGTTAAGACCAATTCTGCTCAGCCGTAAAATCATTTTAAAATCACATACAAACAAGCATGATACACCAACTGCACTAATAAAATCCTTGGAAAAGTGTACACAAAATTAAACATACTTTAAAATGTAACAAACTTTTTTCAAATAAAGATTAAATCAAACTTAGCTTAGTTTAATTTATATCTGGAAATTGTTTATTTATTGATTAACAAATAAGTCCTTAGGTAGATGTGAATAATCTGTTTAAAAATCAGACTACTAATAACTCCACTCTAATTATGACTAAGAAAGCGCAAGGTTCCGACACATTCTCTCTATATAAGATACAATCTGGACAGACAAGGAGCAGAGGCTTTCAGTTTCTCCTATAGACAACAATGCCTGGACATATCAAGAAAACTTCAGGTCCGGATCCTGATCCATCCCCATGGCTTCTTGTCTCGCCTGAATTGAAGGAGAAGAACAAGAACAAGCCCTATGATCCCAAGAAGTCTGTTTGGGTTCCTAACAAGGCTGATGGAGGATACCTGGAGGGACTCATTGAGTCCAAGGATGGGGCCAAAGTCTCTGTCAAAGTTAATGGAGAAGTCAAGGTGTTCAAGGAGGATCAGGTTTGTCAGATCAACCCTCCCAAGTTTGACTGCTCTGATGACATGGCTAACCTTACCTATCTTGGTGATGCCTGTGTCTTGTGGAACTCTCAGATTAGGTATGTCAACGAGTTGATCTATACCTATTCTGGACTTTTCTGCATTGCTATCAATCCTTACAAGAGGTTCCCTATCTACACCCTCCGTACCATGGAGATCTATACTGGAAGAAGACGTAATGAGTGTCCTCCCCATATCTTTGCTATTGCTGAGGGAGCTTACCAAGGTATGATGAACTCTGGCATGAACCAGTCTATCCTATTGAAATATGACACTTTAAGTTTAGTAAATTCTATATTCATTTTATTTCTTTATTGCCCTCTTTTTTTTTAAAAATTCAGTGATGGTGATGGACCAAACCTCTGTAGAGTAAAAAAGTAGATGTTAGTTCCACATTTTGCCCTCCTCCCAAATTTTCACCCAGTATATAATCTATATATAAATTTGGCTTTGTTTGTTTGTTTGTTTGTTTGTATCCAATAAATGTCAAAACGGCTGAACCAATCGGGCCCAATTTTTTTGAGGGACATCACATAACCACAAGGAAGGTTTATGAATGATAAAAATAAAAAAATGTGTTATAAAGGTTTTTAATTTTGTAAAAAAATTTAAATTCTTGAAAATCCGCGATTTTTTTTTTAATTCCGCAAAATTGTTTTCTTCTTTGTTTTAAAATGTAAACAAAAAGAACATGTTCACAATTTAAATAGAAGATGGGCGCGAAGCGCCCTAAAAGCCTAGTATAATATATTTTGTCAATACTAGAGGTCTCTGTCTAATTTTTTTTAATCTTAAATAAATCAATAGGATAAATGTTTTATATCTATAATTGTAAAAAGTGTTTATATACACACTGATTCAAATACAACCTAACATGCGAACTAACTACTATGGTGCTTCAATATGTTTAGTTAGGATGAAACTCTATATAAACAAAAAATGGAAATAAACTATACTTATTTGGAAGGGTGGGTTCTTCTTGGATTCGGAATACTTTTTGCATCAAGGTTAACTTGAACTAAACACTAAACTCTGTACATTGTACTCTGTATAAAGTTAACATTAACATTACCATTAACATTGGCTTTAAACAATTCATTAAAGTTTATGCTTGTCATTATATAATGTTAACATTAACATTACCATTAACATTGGATTTAAACATGGGGCCGGCTCCAGAGCCAAGACGGAGCCAACCATTTTTCAGTGATTTAGAGTGATCTGAGGTTGAAGCCATTGTGAAACAAAAGTTGTAAAGGACCTTAAGGGCTTTCTATAAAATAGTTTAGAACAAATCTGATTCTTGTTCTAGTTTGTTGCAAAGCTGAATCTTGTTAATTGGTTGCAAATTTGATTCTTGACATACCCTACAGGAGATGGTGGTCGCTCAATTCACGAGCTGGACAAACAGCGCAGAAGACTTGAAGTTGAAAAAGAAGAACTACAAGCTGCTCTTGAAGAGGCTGAAGGAGCACTGGAAGCTGAGGAAAACAAGGTCCTAAGAGCGCAATTGGAACTTGGCCAGGTCAGACAGGAAATTGATAGGAGAATGGCAGAGAAGGAGGAAGAGTTCAACAATAGTCGGTAAGTCTTAGATTATAAAATATATTTCTGCAAATTCCTAATTCTAACAATTTCTTTGGACTCTTTGAGTACATTTTTTCTGTAAATAATCTCTGCTCCACCATTTAAAATATAATTTCACTACGTTAATAATCTCAATAATCTCTTCACCTGCACAAATTTTGCACAACCACTGATTTCAGGCTGATTTTTGTTCAAGATATAATGTATTTTTTAATCCTATCTTTTTTAGTAAGAACCACGCTCGTGCCATGGAGAGCATGCAAGCTTCTTTGGAATCTGAGCAGAGAAGCAAGGCTGAAGCCCTCAGGATCAAGAAGAAGCTTGAAGGAGATATCAATGAGTTTGAAATTGCTCTGGACCACTCTAACAAAGCCAACAATGAAGCTCAAAAATCCATCAAGCGTTACCAGGTATATAATTTAAATGCATATAAATATTAGACATAAGTTCAAACTGGAAAGCAGGCAATGAACACATGGCAAAGACTGAATATTGAAAAGGAATATATATGTAGAAGATTTTGTTAACCCTTATATTGTTTGTTGCAAGTAAATATATTAATGCATACCAATGTTAGGATTTCTTTATCAAAACTAGCTAAAACAAGGTCATAAGCCACAAAAAAATTGTTTCTCGAAAATAACAGAACAAACCACACTTCCAGGTATCGACAATCAATGAAAATCTCTTTATTTCCTGAAAAATTACATTAAATTATAATGGGTTTAAATAATGAAAATAATCTTTGTAATATAGAAAATCCTTACAATCTAGAACAGGAAATGTGGGTATAAATTAGGGTACAAACAGTACTAAAAGACGTTTTTAACTTCTGAAATAAGATGACAATTAATTATGAATGAAATCTCTGTTTTATGTGAAAATTATTCTTTGTTTAACTTTTGAAAATAGATTCACAACATGTGAGGCTTTGTTTATATTTATAACTCCGTTGGAGAGAAGAAAGGGGTGGGTTGAAATTGTTTGGTTTGGTGTCTCCGAGAGGGAACTTAAGTTAAAGACGACCTTACAACGGAGGCTTATTGTTAATGGTTGACAAAGGTTTACTTAGGTTACAATAAGATAACTTGTATTTCATAAAGAAAAATAATTCGTATAATCTAACTGTTTTTATATTTCATATAATACATGTTTAAAAGTACAACTTTATATTCTCAAAGATTTTTGTAATGGTGATAAAAGCAGGCCTGGTGTAATGTGAAAAAAGAACTATGTTATCTCTTATTTAAAGTAATAATTTGTGTTGAAATTTTTACCAAATATGAATTATTTTAAGGCATGCATTAACTTTATTTAAATTTTTTACAGTTTTAATCTAAATTCAGCATGACCAAAATTATTTTTGGCCACAATGGTGCAATCTTTAAAAAAAAGATGGTACAATAGAGTATTAAAACCATAAAATATAAAGAAGAGTTTTTTTAAATAATGTAAAATTTTGTTCATTTTTATGATCTAAATTGCATTAAAGATATTATAATGAAAAAAAACTTCTCATTCGTGATAATATTTTTGAATGCAGATTTCTGTAAATTCTGAATTTTGAAATCCTGAAACCAGTTGTAAAATAGAATTCTGTAAATTCTGAATTTTGAAATCCTGAAACCAGTTGTAAAATAGAATTCTGTAAATTCTGAATTTTGAAATCCTGAAACCAGTTGTAAAATAGAATTCTGTAAATTCTGAATTTTGAAATCCTGAAACCAGTTGTAAAATAGAATTCTGTAAATTCTGAATTTTGAAATCCTGAAACCAGTNCCTTTAATGGTTTGGGTGCTGGGAGGGTTTAACAAGTTCAAAAAGTACGTTGGAAAATTTTGATTTTTACTTTTGACAAATATTAACATATGGGGCGGGGTGGTGGAAAACAACCCCCTTCCCCCTCCCCTATCGTGATAGAGTTAACTGTACTGAAAGTTTATTTGTCAGTTGAAATCCGCTGGTCTGACGTACGCTCCGTTCATTTTTCTAAATGTAAAAGAAGGATTAAAAAAAAGTCTGAACGTGCACAGAACATCGATTTTTCAGTTTTTAAAAGTTCTTCTAAGGAAATAGATTACTAAGTTCTAACTACGAATGCGTAGAAAAATTATCAATGACCACAGGTTGTGATGTATATGATTTCTTTGGAATTAAATTATTTTTTTTTACGATCTGAGATTAGTGTTGAAACTTTTTGTATGGACGCTACGTTTTTCGGTAAGAGTCGTTTTAACAATTTTCTCCTTATAGATCCGAGTTGAATGTTGCAACTTTCTGAATTTTATGGACGCTACGTTTTTCGGTAAGAGTCGTTTTAACAATTTTCTCCTTAAAGATACAACAGATAGAATCATAGAAGTAAGATTATTAGCGATCACCATTGTTAATTTTTCGCCGTAAGCCTTTCATTTTTCCAGAACACTCCCTTTAAGGTAATGCAAGAAGTGATAAAATGCAAAAGGTCATCAGAGTATTTTTGATCACAAAGTTATAAAACTGCAGTTTTTATGCATTTATAATTTCAATAAATCGGTACGAATAAATTTTCATTTATTAATTATAGAGAAAAGTTTAAACAGCTAAAAGTATGCTTAAAGGGACTGTAAAGTATGCTTAAAACAAAATCTTAAAAACTGAATATTTTTATTTTCCGTTATGCATGTTAACATTTATATTACAGAATATATTGTATATAACGGAAAACAAAATCATGTTATGGTTAATGTCAATTCGAGGTTTTCTTTTTTTATCTACTGCGAAAATCAGAAAACCGTAGAATAGGAAGACGACATTAAAGCAATACTAAAGTGCATTTGACCATTTTACAAAGCAAAAAGCTTTATTAGTAAGTTATTAAATCACTTATTAAGTGAAATATAATGAATCGGATCTGTTTACACTGCACACTTGCTGAAATTGGATTATTTAAAGTCTCATCTTGAATCTTAAAAGTCGTCTTCGTATTCCAGAGTTTTTTGTTATCACTGTACATAGTTTGTGTTACAAATATTAATTTAATAGTTTTGAATTAAATAGTTAGAAATACTGCAAGGATTGCAAGCTTTATGGATAACTATATTTATAAAAGCAAAAGAACTCAGATGAATAAATGCAATATAGTTATAGTAATTTATAAGATTTAGTTATAGTAATTTTAAGTGATCCTAAATTTAAGCAATCGCATGTTCAACATGATTAATCCTCAACTTAGTTACAACTAACGTTGCCAGTGGAATTTTCTAAAATCGAATTTTGAAAGAAAAAATTTGATTTTTGAAAGAAAAAATTCAATTTTAAAAAGAATTTTTTTTTTTTTCTAGCCTATGTTACCCCTAGGCTCTAGCTACTCAAGTCTTCCCTACACAAATTTCAGCCCATTTGGTCCAGCCGTTGGGCCCGCTTTTGCTACAGCTAACATACAAATGTACATACAAATATGTATATATGAGCGAAGAGCTTTATAATATACCTAGCTGAAGTGCCCGGCGTTACGCGTGAATTTGTTTAAATCGAATTTTTCAAAAAAAAATATTTTACTTCTGAAATTTTTTTAAAACCTTTGTTAACCCCCGTAGTACCCAAGGGGTTCCCTCAAAAAATTACAGCACATTCGATCCAGCCGTTTGGACAGCTATAGATGATATAGAAAATGTTATTGGTTATCTATATTGAATTGTTAAGGTTTAAAGGTGCCACTTGTTTCTAGAAATCCGATTTCAAATTTCACTTTTTTATATAGACATTAAACATTAAATACATATGCTTAAATTAAAGCATAATCACTGAAGTTACTAAATGTTTATTTTTAATTAATGTCTATTAATATGTTTATTTGTAGTACAGTGAAACCCTTAATAACGAATACATCGAAAGAATTCATCAAATGTCGTATTCTTCACTTTCTGATAATGGAATGTTGCAGATATTTAGTTTTTTAATTAAATGATTATATGGAACTCCTTAAAACTGTTCCCGCATAATCATGGCTATTTATTTATTTTCGCAAATACTGGAATTTACGTAATAAAGTATAAAACTCATTAAAGACGACATTTGATAAATTCTTCCGATGTATTCGTTATTAATGTACAATGTCAGCGTGCTTATTAAAAGCGGAAATTTACAAGACAAAAAAGAGTAATTGTGCAGTGCACTGGTGAGGGGTGGACAGTTTGTTTCCATTCTCTTTCCTGGCCAATGGACGCCGGGGGGGGAGTAACCCCCTTATAATGCAGGTTATTATATTGTATTTGTTTTATTTACTAAAATTACAGATATGCACAGAAAGAAATTGAGTCTTTGTTACAAACTCTGATTTTCTAATACCTAAATCTTTGCAACCCAATGTCAAAGGAGAGATTTTGAAGAACTTGGCGGTTCTTGGTTGTCGACTTGGAGGTCAAACTCTGCCAGGAAGTCTGCTCCCAGGATTGGTTGGTCCACGTCGGCGAGGAGGAACTGGAACTGGAAACGACTGGAACCAAACTGTAGAGGAATTAATCTGGAACCCCAAGCTTTAGTTAGCTGTCCATCAGCTATTAGGAGGCGGGGGCCTGTCGGTGCAGCTGAGGAACGATGGGGAAACACAGATCTTGAAGCTCCAGTGTCAACTAAATAATCACGGTTTGACAGGGCATCTTGCAGGTACACAGGGGAAGCTTCTGGACGATGTGATCGAATTTGGTTTTTGACTGTGTGATTTGAGCGTTTCTGAAGGCAGCCTCTGCATGAAGGAACCACAAGTTGGGGTCCTCTGTCCAAAAATCTGGGAGCTTGACAGAGACTTTGGTGACATTCTCAGTTGGAGTTTCTTTCTAGTCCGTCATGATGCTCGGATGTATCACTTAATGTTCAAAGTTTAATTAAATCACGAAACTGGATAGCGTTTAACTGTATGTTTAAAGTCGGGGGTCACCAATATAGAGTACATGAGTGAGACTCTAATGAAAACGCATAAAATACTTCCAGTATATATATTTCTTATAACTTATTACTAGAGGGTTCAGAACTAGAGTAAATATTGATATCACATGTGTAGATGTTTTTCAGTACTATGCCCCGTATCAGTTCTATCTCATTCTGTTGAATCTTGTGGGATTTGTTTAACGCTGCCAGGCATCGTCTTCCACAAATGAATATATTAATGAAAGAATGAAAAATTAATAGACATAAGAATAAAAAAATTAGAGGTTGCATGATTTTTGTTTGGCAGCAATTGCCAAATGTTCATGTCCTTTTTAACACTCTAAGGGCCGCCTAAAAAATGAAGAAAAGAGGGGGGGCAATTACCCTGGAATGTGACTAAAGAACAAATCAGTTTTTATTTTTTGCTAATTTCTGGAAGCTCTCTATTTAGCCCCCTACAGTCCTCACATGTGCATTGTAAGGGAAGATGATGGGGGGGGGGG